GTGACTGCTGAAGGTAATTGGTTGCACCAGATCTTATTTAGGGGCTTCTTAGCAAAGGGGGTGAATACATATGCACGCACCACTTTTCTATAATTATTTTATTTTTATTTTTTTAAAGTTATTTATTTTCATTTCACTTCACCAATTTGGACTATTTTGTTTATGTCCATTACATGAAATCCAAATAAAAATCCATTTAAATTACAAGTTGTTATGCAACAAAATAGGAAAAACGCCATGGGGATGAATACTTTTGCAAGGCACTGTACGTTATAAAAGCCAAGCCAACGACTTAGGATATATTGCAAATGAGTGCCTGTCATATGTTCCCCTGAATCAACACCTACCCTAAGTGTTAATTACTATTACAGGGCTCCAGACTAACCTTTTCCCCTGGTGTCACTAACTTTTACAGTGGGTGGCAGTGTCCCAGTCATTCATAGTGCTTTATTAAGAAGTGTAGTAAATAGACTGAGATATTCAAGAAATAAGTTATTTCATCTAACACGTCCAAGCAGGAATGCATGATTCAAGATATTTTGATGTACAACCTAATCCAGTGATAGTCATGAATTTTGGGTTGACAATTTTGTTTTGTTCAATAGAGATGAATTACATACATCTTTATGTGTACTAATATCATAGGCTAAATAATTTGGGGTTCAAATCCTGAGGAAGTGGAAACTCAAAACACATTAACTAAATCGTAACAGTAAACAGTACATTTAGTGTCCTAATAAAATGTGCAGTTGTAAGCTATTACCCATGAGACCTATAGGCCTATGCCCTCGCAATGGCCGGTGCGCACATTCCAAGCACACCCTTTGCTATGAGACTCGAAATTGAGCTCAGGTGCATCCTGTTTCCACTGATCATCCTTGAGATGTTTCTACAACTTGATTGGAATACACTTGTGGTAAATTCAATTGATTGGACATGATTTGGAAAGGCACACACTTGTCTCTATAAGGTCCCACAGTTGACAGTGCATGTCAGAGCAAAAACCAAGCCATGAGGTCGAAGGAATTGTCCGTAGAGCTACGAGACAGGATTGTGTCGAGGCACCGATCTGGGTTATTGTACCTAAACATTTCTGCTGCATTGAAGGTCCCCAAGCACACAGCGACCTCCATCATTCTTACGTGGAAGAAGTTTGGAACCACCAAGACTCTTCCTAGAGCTGGCCGCCCGGCCAAACTGAGCAATCGGGGGAGAAGGGCCTTGGTCAGGGAGGTGACCAAGAATCCGATGGTCACTCTGACAGAGCTCCAGAGTTCCTCTGCAGCACTCCACCAATCAGGCCTTTATGGTAGAGTGGCCAGACAGAAGCCACTCCTCAGTAAAAGGCACATGACAGCCCACTTGGAGTATGACAAAAGGCACCTAAAGGACACTCCGACCATGAGAAACAAGATTCTCTGGTCTGATGAAACCAAGATTGAACTCTTTGGCCTGAATGCCAAGCGTCACGTCTGGAGGAAACCTAGCACCATCCCTACAGTGAAGCATGGTGGTGGCAGCATCATGCTGTGGGGATGTTTTTCAGCGGCAGGGACTGGGAGACTAGTCAGGATCGAGGGAAAGATCAACAGAGCAAAGTACAGAGATCCTTGATGAAAACCTGCTCCAGAGCGCTCAGGACCTCAGACTGGGGCGAAGGTTCACCTTCCAACAGGACAACGACTGTAAGCACACAGCCAAGACAACGCAGGAGTGGCTTCAGGACAAGTATCTGAATGTCCTTGAGTGGCCCAGCCAGAGCCCGTACTTGAACCTGATCTAACATCTCTGGAGAGACCTGAAAATAGCTGTGCAGCGATGCACCCCATCCAACCTGACAGAGCTTGAGAGTATCTGCAGAGAAGAATGGGAGAAACTTCCCAAATACAGGTGTGCCAAGCTTGTAGCGTAATACCCTGGAAGACTCGAGGCTGTAATCGCTGCCAAAGGTGCTTCAACAAAGTACTGAGTAAATGGTCTGAATACTTATGTAGATGTAATATTTCAGTTTAATTTATTTATACATTGGCAAAAATGTATAACCTATTTTTGCTTTGTCATTATGGGGTATTGTGTGTAGATGGATGAGGATTAAAAAAAAAATCAATTTTAGAATAAGGCTGTAATGTAACAATGTGGAAAAAGTCAAGGGGTCTGAATACTTTCCGAATGCACTGTACCTACAGAAAGCAGAGACCCTCCTCTCTTCGACAAGGACAAGGGGTACAAATCTTCCAAATGTGTTTTTCAAGCAATTGCATTTTGAAATGTTATAAGGGAGTATGCAAGCACACTCAGTCAGCATGCTTCAGTTCAGCTGGCACTTAGCCGAACTCACTAGCCAAATCAAACAAGTGTGCTCACATACTCCTTTAAAAAGACCATCGCTTGAAAAATGACAAAAAAAAGCAGCAATAGTACCTTTTGGCCATTTTGAGATGTTGTAGCCTGTATACGCTTCCTCAAAATAGTCAGAATTAATCTTAGGTAATTTAAGAAATCTGTCATTAATTGATGTTTTTGCCTTAGAGATTTTAATCACGCAATTTTACATTGACTAAAATGTTGTTGCAGTATAAGCTCCTGAGTGGCGCAGTGGTCTAAGGCACTGCATCGCAGTGCTAACTGTGCCACTAGAGATCCTGGTTCAAATCCAGGCTCTGTCGCAGCTGGCCGCGACTGGGAGACTCATGGGCAGCGCACAATTGGCCCAGCGTCGTCCAGGGTAGGGGAGGGAATGGCCGGCAGGGATGTAGCTCAGTTGATAGAGCATGGCATTTGCAACGCCAGGGTTGTGGGTTTGATTCCCACGGGGGGCCAGTATAAAAAAATATGTATTCACTAACTGTAAGTCGCTCTGGATAAGAGCGTCTGCTAAATGACTAAAATGTAAATGTATTTTTCAATGAAAAAATGTGCATGAAAACGAGTCATCTCTTGTTGAATGACAAATACTTGATTGAAGAATCCCTACTGTTGACCAATCACCGACAAAGGGGTGTAGACTTAGCCTCTGAACTTCGGCTTGCCTCCAGAAAAAATGTGGTGTGCCCGAACAGCTGAAAAAACCCTCCCCGAAGTCCAAAACTAACAAAAATGTCATCATAATATATGCACAAACTCTACCTAACTGTTTTGGCTGGGAAGCATGCGGACGCCTGTAAGCCTAATCCTTTTCCTAACCTTAACCACAGGAGGCTGCTGAGGGGAGGACGGCTCATAATGGCTGGAACAGAGGGAATGGAATGGCATCAAACACATGGAAACCATGTTCGTTTGTATTTGATACCATTCCACTAATGCCGCTCCAGCCATTACCACGAGCCTGTCCTCCCCAATTAAGGCACCACCAACCTCCTGTGACCTTAACTGCATTCTCCTAACCTGCTATGTTAATAATAATAATTCGGTGGGTGCTTATATTTGTACTATTTCACATGTACAAGTGTGTATTATATGCATGTGTGAATTGGAAATTGTTTTTTTTGCATATCCGAACTCCCGAGACACCTTCAGAGAGTGGGATCACGGAATTAGGGTTAAGTGCCTTGCTCAAGGGCACATCAACAGATTGTTAGAATCCCCGAGCTGACATGGTGAACATCCGACAGATTTTTCACCTTGGGGATTCCAACTAGCAACCTTTTGGTTACTGGCCTAACACTAACTGCTAAGCTATTCACCTCACCTCTTACGTTAGTTCTCCTAACCAGCCACGTTAATTATCCTAACCTGCTATATAAACAAACAAACATCAGTATCACCACACCGGCCGTTGCCCACCGATCAGCCAAAGGCTCATTATAGATTAGTATAATAGAGAAATTGCGCAACCTATTTTTATAAATATTTTTATCCAGCCACGTCACCTTTTTCAGTGTTTTATTTTTATATCAAAACATTGTGTCAATTTCGACCAGCTAGATGACCAATCCGCCCCTGCCATGAGACAACATTACAAACAGAGCAGTCTATTGGGATCAAAGTCATACTGGTGCCTCAGACAGGCTGAAAGGACAACTTGAGGCAGATACAATACATTCCATTGATCAAGCAAATAGCTGGCTGTTATTACAAAAATAACTTGATTTAATGAGGCGTAAAAAGGGTGGAAGGGAAAGGATGCCTATGAATAAACAACACAGCAATATAGAGAAATGGCTTACACAATGTGAGAACTTAGTTAAAACTAATTATATTTCAACAGCTGAGAACTGTTGGTCTTACCACTGAAAGGAGAAGAACAGAGGTCTGGGGAGGGGATTTAAGAATACATGAAGGGAAAAGTAAATACTGTAGCACCAGTTCCTCCACCCACCCTGGGATCCTAAATAACTACAGATCAATACAAATATTTTCAAAATGCCAAGTTCATAAACTGCTGGTAACTGACTGAAAACTCCTGCTTAGGTCAGAGGCGAGTTCAACAAGGCTTGTTGCCAGAGTAACAATTTCAGTTGAACGATTTGAATGAACATTCCAAAATGTTACGGTGAAACATCAAACAGCTACTTTTTCTAAGGACTACTGTGGCTTTTTAGCGACAATATTCAAAAAACAACTTACCTATTCCTACTAAATATAGTAGAAAGTCTACATGGCCACTTGATTGTTTTTAGCAGCAGTTTAGACACGAAACAGACACTTACGTTCACCGCACACTATATTCTCAGACTGTTAGCTAACGTTAGCGAACAGTTGCTGCTAACACAAAGCAAATGGAATATGTTAGCTAACGTTAGCCAGCGTTCGCAAACTATTTCCCTTATTGAACGCACCTCTGATAGTGATTCTGATCTCAGCAATACAGGAACATCAAATACATCATAAGGTTTCAACTGTCTACCCCCTGGTCACCGGTCCATATTTCTCAAAACAGAAAGCTGTGTAGCAGAGTCAAAATGGTCACACTGGTCTAGATTCGAGATTAGACCTAACCAGCCCCTCCAATCTTATCCTCGCTCTCTTTTCTCTTACTTTATCCATCTGTCTGTACTAATCTACAGGCTGTAGAACTTGAGGCTTCTGTCCATTCCAGCGGAGGAAAGGAACTGAGCATTGTCTCCGAACGCCACCCCTGTCACCAGGCCAGAGTGGTCTGGAAAAAGAGGAAAGAAATGGATTTTTTAAAAGACATGTTTAAGTTGACTCTGTAAGTTGACGCCATAGGACACTGAGTTTTTCCTAACGATTTGTATGTATGATTTGTACAGTGGTCTGATGAAGGTTGAATTTAGATATTCTGTTCGGTTGTTTTTCTCACCGCTGAAGTTGAGGACCTCAGACCACTGCTTGCAGATGTACACCCTGATGTCGGATCCACCCACAGCCAAGTATGTACCACTCTGATCAAACACCAGAGACTTAACCTGAGAGAGAGTAAATAAGGTTCCAATGAAAAACTCTGCAAGAAATAACCATGTTATTTGCAGTAAATTAATTAGTGAGAAGTTGATCCATATCTGTAGCTAACAGACTCTGCACTGTCTCTCATTCTCACCTCATAGTTGTTGTCCAGGGCGATGGTCTTGAAGTTCTTCAGTTTCCTCAGATCCCACAGCTTCACAGAGCTGTCCTGGGCACCTAGAACACAGAGAGAGAGACTGGGTCAGGGAATCCATGAGAAATCCAACATTATTTACACTGTTTTGTGAGGTTGGAGAGAGACTGACCTGTGGCCAGGTAGTATCCGTTCTCAGAGAAGGCGATGGAGGTGACAGGTCCAGAGTGGCCGGGGAAGTTGGCCACGTTTGTGCGCTCCTTCAGATCCCAGATCTTGATCTGGGAGTCGGCAGTTCCCGTCCCAAAGATCAGACCATCAGGGTGGAACTGAGCACAAGTCAGAGCTGGGTAGAGGAGGGGGTAGAGATACAATTGAAGTCGGAAGTTTACATACACCTTAGCCAAATACATTTAAACTCAGTTTTTCACAATTTCTGACATTTAATCCTAGTAAACATTCCCTGTCTTAGGTCAGTTAGGATCACCACTTTATTTTAAGAATGTGAAATGTCAGAATAATAGTAGAGAGAATGATTTATTTCAGCTTTTATTTCTTTCATCACATTCCCAGTGGGTCAGAAGTTTACATACACTCAATTAGTATTTGGTAGCATTGCCTTTAAATTATTTAACTTGGGTCAAACGTCGAAACGTATTAGGAAGGTAGCCTTCCACAAGCTTCCCACAATAAGTTGGGTGAATTCTGGCCCATTCCTCCTGACAGAGCTGGTGTAACTGAGTCAGGTTTGTAGGCCTCCTTGCTCGCACAAGCTTTTTCAGTTCTGCCCACAACTTTTCTATAGGATTGAGGTCAGGGCTTTGTGATGGCCACTCCAATACCTTGACTTTGTTGTCCTTAAGCCATTTTGCCACAACTTTGGAAGTATGCTTGGGGTCATTGTCCATTTGGAAGACCCATTTGCGACCTAGCTTTAACTTCCTGACTGATGTCTTGAGATGTTGCTTCAATATATCCACACAATCTTCCTTCCTCATGATGCCATCTATTTTGTGAAGTGCACCAGTCCCTCCTGCAGCAAAGCACCTCCACAGCATGATGCTGCCACCTCTGTGCTTCACGGTTAGGATGGTGTTCTTCGGCTTGCAAGCAACCCCCTTTTTCCTCCAAACATAACGATGGTCATTATGGCCAAACAGTTCTATTTTTGTTTCATCAGACCAGAGGACATTTCTCCAAGAAGTATGATCTTTGTCCCCATGTGCAGTTGCAAACCGTAGTCTGTATTTTTTATGGCGGTTTTCGGAGCAGTGGCTTCTTCCTTGCTGAGCGGCCTTTCAGGTTATGTCGATATAGGACTCGTTTTACTGTGGATATAGATACTTTTGTACCCGTTTCCTCCAGCATCTTCACAAGGTCCTTTGCTGTTGTTCTGGGATTGATTTGCACTTTTCACACCAAAGTACGTTCATCTCTAGGAGACAGAACGCTTCTCCTTCCTGAGAGGTATGATGGCTGCGTGGTCCCATGGTGTTTATACTTGCGTACTATTGTTTGTACAGATGAATGTGGTACCTTCAGGCGTTTGGAAATTGCTCCCAAGGATAAACCAGACTTGTGGAAGTCTACAAAAAAATGTCTGAGCCCTTGGCTGATTTCTTTTGATTTTCCCATGATGTCAAGCAAAGAGGCACTGAGTTTGAATGTAGGCCTTGAAATACATCCACAGGTACACCTCCAATTGACTCAAATGATGTCAATTAGCCTATCAGAAGCTTCTAAAGCCATGACATCATTTTCTGGAATTTTCCAAGCTGTTTAAAAGGCACAGTCAACTTCTGACCCACTGGAATTGTGATACAGTGAATTATAAGTGAAATAATCTGTCTGTAAACAATTGTTGGAACAATTACTTGTGTCATGCTCAAAGTAGCTGTCCTAACAGATTTGCCAAAACTACAGTTTGTTAACAAGAAATGTGTGGAGTGGTTGAAAAGCGAGTTTTAATGACTCCAACCTAAGTGTATGTAAACTTCTGACTTCAACTGTATAAGAGACAAAAATAGTAACCCAGCTTTTGTGTCCATATGCGTAGACCTGACCACAAACACACTTACCAACACCAGCAGCCTCATCTGTGACTTTGGTAAGGACTCGGCCTGTTTGGATATCAGAGAAGGCCCAGTACTGAGAGACAGAGAGAGAGAAAGACACAGAGAGAGAATGAAAAGAATGCAGTGTTAGCATACATTTACCAACACACACAGAGGTGCCATTACATTTACTATTGACAACAGTGCAGCTGGTGCCATTCTATTCAACGGACCAGTTGACTCAGGAGTTGTAACAATATGCTGGACTCAGGTGTTCTAACAGTACAATGGACTGACCTGGTCTTCAGAAGAGCTGAGCAGGTAATCTCCAGTGGCGTGAAGTGACAGCCCAGTCACGCTCGCCTCGTGAGCTCGCACCACCTGGACACAGTTGCCCCCAGTAACAGACCACACCCGGATGGTGCTGTCTGGAGAGGCAGAGAACACCACAGACTGGAGAGGAAAGAAAGACAGAAAATACAAACAAAATACGAAAGTGTGGAAGGAAATTAGGCAAGTGAGATTTACAAACTACAACACAGCACATTTTAAACTGGGGTATAGAGATACCACAAATCAAGTCATCTTTAACTATTTTTTTAAATTTCACTGTATCACAATGTTGAAAAGTGGCGGTCAGGAGTTGAGGTCATCATTGAGTTCATTTCCATAAAATGTTAGGAGCTAGACAGGTGTATAGACAGGTCTGTTACCTGGGAGGGGTGGTAGATGACAGAGGTGACCTTCTTGGTGTGACCCTTGAGGGTGGCAATGATCTGCTCCTCCTTCTTGTCAAACACCACCACATTCTTATCAGCCCCACCTGGCAACACAAGATACAGTCATCAATTACATTTGATTGGTAGTTCTATTTAGATATGCAAGAAAAAGAGATTGAGAGAAAATAAAAAGCTGTTAGAAACAGCAGGGGTGCCTGGGTGCTTACCAGTGAGTACTTTATTGGTGTCTGAAGGACAGAGGTCCATACACAGGATTCCTGGGACACTGGCACTGTGAAGTCCCTGAGATATTCAAAAGAACATGGTCACTATATGGACAGACAGACAGCTAAGGGCAACCTCAGATAGTATTGCTAAGCAGCAGTCAGTCCAACTACAGGTTATTACAGTCCTACAAACAGACAGACAGACAGACAGTAGTACTCACAGCGTGTGAAGCCACTTGGCGGTACTTGCTCAGATCCTCAGCCCTGACCAGCTCCTCTGGCACGGTCTTGCCTCTCTGGTTAGGAAGAGAAAGGGAGGAGTGAGCAAACATAAGGGGCAAAATGAGAGGGTGTATTAAAATATTGAGTGGTTTATCATCCATCTCTGCAATCCTACAACGCATGACACAGACATTTTCTTGAATGAAAATCGTACCTTCTTTCTCTCTGTGGTAAGGACAGTGGCCTTATCTTGAAGCTGAAAACAGAACAGTAGAGGAGCGGGAAAGAGACGAATCAGAATTCAATGAACCACAAATCCATTCCCATATTGAGAGGGTCTCAGAGTAATGAGAACACTAATCACAGGGCGTAAAAAGAAGAAGAGGAAATTAGCTCTTACCTTCTGGATGATCTCTGGAGTCATTCCCACCTGCTCACTAACCTCCATGGGCTCCCCACCAGCACCCTGAGAAAGGGAGGGGCAAAACAACAGAGAGAAGATGACTTAGAAAAGAGAGAGAGCATCTATCCTCAATCTCTGATGGACAGAAATCCTGTTTGATGGATGGGAATCAGCGCTAATCACTCACCCCAGCGGCTGGCTGAGAGGCGGACATAGCCTGAGGGGCGACCAATCCGGCTTGGGGCTTGAGTGTGGCCAGGGCTGTTGAATGGGAGAATGGGCAAAGAGTAAGCATTTGTCTTCACAGGTCAGTGAAGGAGAGAAGATAAGGAAGTGACTTCAGACTATAGGAGATCCCCACTAGAGCTCCCTTGGCCCTCTCTTACCCTCTCTGGCTGCAGTGACCTCCTTGGTGAGACGGGCAATGACTCTGCAGGCTGCGTCATGCTGGTAGAGGGCGTGAGAAAGCTCCTGGCGAGTCGTCTGCAGCTGCTGCCTCAGAGTGAAACTGTGCAACATGACCGCATCCTTGAAAGAGACAGAAGACATTAAGGGAAAGATGTAATAATACTGAGGAAGAGTATTCTGTTGTAACACTGTCCACAGCTAGACTACAAACTCCAGACTGTCTAGACACTCACCCACTCATCTTGCAGAGACTTGAGTATGGCAGGGATACTGGTAGCGGATGGAGCCTTTGGTCGGATAGGATGAGACACTGGGCAACAGAAGAAAGGTAGCACAACATTGATTCAAATTCATTACAAGAATGTTTCTTCGAATACATGGAACCATCTTAGATTTCCTTCGAAGTCAAAACTAAAATCAGTACATAAATACATACTTGATGTAATTGAGTCGACCGGTTACGTTAACAGTATATCCCCGCCCTCTGTTTACCTTTAATATCGATAAGTTGCTCCTCCGACAGCGGTTGGCTATTCATGGGGTCCACTCCATTCTCCGCGATGAACTTCTCGATCAGTCGACGCTCGAACACCTGGTTGGACACCGGGGACACGCAGGGGTGCTCCGGGACCTCATTGGAAACTGAGTGGGAGAACATAAGTGGATACATACAATTATTAGCTATCGATTCATGAATAGATTAGAGCGGTCACGGTTAGCTAATATAACTAGTAGGCCACCCCGAATAAGATGTTGTAGAAAAATGACAGTAGACTACAAATACAATGCATCAGTTACTAGCTAGCTAGTTAGCCAAACTAGCTAGCAGAGTGCTAATGTAAGCTAGCTAGCTCATTCAACTTCAGAAGCATGTTCAACTTACTTGCGCAAACCAAAGACATATTTCAAGTGCACGTCGCTCTGCAGCTAAACACGATTTGTTGTGTTACTTTTGATGGCAAACTATATTGAAACTATTGTGGCTACTTTATTTTTGTTTTCTTCCAAGTTCGCACGCTGGCGTTTCATTGCCGCTTCGAAAATAGTGCACGCTGGGATAGCATCAGTCCTCCAACCCGAGCCCCTCTTCGTTCCCCCTACTGTCATGACTACGACAACTTTCATAAATAGATTTAATTACTTTTATTTTCTTAATCTTCATTAATTACTTGACTAACAAACCAATGACACGTTAATACACAATAACACATTGGTAAAAGTATATTACTTCAAAACATCATATTGACATACTTTCAGATTGGATTATGATCTCTTTATTGGTATCATTCTATAAAACCTCAATGACAATGTGAATACCTGGTGAAAATAATGTAACAGTAATTTAATCATGTACACCATTTTATGGCAATCACAAACAACACATATCTTACATAAAAAATATGTAATCTAATAAAATATAGTTTGTTATTTTGTGTTAATTTACTTGATTAATAGTAGGAACACATGCAGTTAGATATGCTTTTAAATTGAGAGGCAATTCCCATATTCTACTACGAAATATGTTCTTTAACCTGGCCATCTCTTCTCCATCCTAACATAACTTCCATATATTTACACACATATACAGACATTATAGCTTACAGTACAGGTTTAAATGTGTGGTCCTGAGGGTTCCTTGAGTTAAATGTGTGGTCCTGAGGGTTCCTTGGTAGGTAGGTAGGTAGGTAGTTAGCAAAGTCATCGTTAGATTTTTGGGAACATTACCTATCCAGTTGTACAAAGGAGTGACATGCCAAAATGGAGGATATTGCTCATCTCATGCTTAAAAGAAATGATAATGACATGATCATAAAGAAATTGTGAAGTAATACGCAATACCCAAACAGGTCCAAATAGGGTTCTGAGAGTGAAGGCACTATAGTGACAAAATCAGCCATGAACAGTTTCATCATATCGCCCTCCACTATTTTCTCTCCTCCCTCTTCCTTTACCTCCGTTCAGTCCTCTTCTCTGTGCTCTATAAGAAGTTGAGTTTATCAGAAGTGTAGACGCTGCAAGTCTCCGAGGTATCTGTGTCCAGTGGAAGTGTGGAGAAGTAGTATTTTGCTTTGCTCCATCTCTGCTTGTCTCCCTCTTTCTTGATCTGGAACTGAAAGCAGTCTTCAGATGAGTGGAGGCAGTCTGAGGTGCCAGCGATTGAAAAGGAGATCTCCCTCTCTCCGTCAGCAGTCTCCTGAGAAGAGAGAGGGAGTCAATGATCAAAAGAAAGAGCAGAATATAACTTTATTGTCCATTGTGAGACAGAAAATAGAAACAGTGTGTGTATTTACCTCTTTACTAGGAGTGTGAGTAGTGGCAGTATCAACTCTAAGTCCATCTGCCTCCTGTTGTCTCGCTGTCCTCACTGGCTCAGGAGAGGGCTGTGGTCCACTGTCCACTACAAGTGGTGCACTGTCCACGACAGGAGTATAACCCTGAGAAAGACACATAATACAGAAATCTAGAATAATGGTGAAAAGAAAAACATTTAAGAAAGAGCCTAAATTAACTTCACCGCCTCCCTACCGAATTTGTAGGTCTGGGGCTCCATATTTTTGGGGTAACAATCTGCTGTGAATGACCGTAAAAGCCAGACGGCTGGAGGCTGGGTGGACTGTAGTCCTGCTGATGACATAAACAAAACAACTATGTAAATATCAAATCCACTATATTTAGCGTAGACAGACAGGGGAACGCACAGCCACACAAACATAAACAATCCACAGAGAAGCATGAAACTGTAGGTGACCATTGACCCAATTTAAATGTGTAAGGAACTGATGCAGAAGGATATTCAGACTGGCGCAAAGGACTGGTTCTATTTTTACTCTGACACGCACTTCAGAATGCTATAATCACACAGTTGAAATGGCTGGACAACATAGTACCATGATAACAGGCTCATAGCATTGCGCACACACAAACCCTCCAATAACCACTCATAACCCCACCATATTGCTTCTACCTACCAAGCTCACACACATCTTTCACTCTACAGCCATCAAACTCATTCAAAACATCCCCTCACCTGGACATTGGCTCTTGGAGGGTTAGCTGCTGGTGTGTGGTGACCTCTTAGGCCGTTGATGATCATAGTGAGGCTGCAGTTAGGGTAGCGCTTCATAAACAGGATGAAACCAGCCAAAGTCACAAACATGCCAGAAGGAACACTGATGGATTTGAGGACTGCTCTCCATCTAGCAGTCTTATCTGGAGAGAGAAACAAAGAGAGAGAGAGAAACAGAGTGAGTGAAAGAAAAAAGGGAGGAAAGGAAGGGAGAAATAGTGAGCGGGTAGATCAAGAAAGATATTATCTCTGCATCATGTAAAGGGGAAAGCTCTTGCTCACACAGAGACACACACACACCTTCACTGTCACTCACCGACCACATGGAGAACGGTGGACGACACCAGGTTGCCGTCCTGATCTCGGATCTCATACATCCCATCATGCTTTGCACTCAGCCTGGTGATGACAAACTCATTGACAGTCCCGTTTCTCCCCAGAGAGATGAGGCCCCAGTACCGGGGATCCTGGTCCACGATCTGGCCGTCCCTGATCAGCTGCACGGGGCGGGAGTACCGGGAGTCAAGGGGCACGTTGGAGGGGTTGGAGAGGTCGGAGAGGTGCAGTGACGGGGTAAAAATGAGGTGGACATGTGGGACAGGGAGAAAGAGGGGAAGGTTTAGAGACTCCTTGAAGAAGCGGGTGACATTGAAGGTGTGCCCTGCACCCACACAGGGGATAATGAGGAGAGAGAGAGAGAGAGAGAGAATGGGAAAGAGTGTAAAGTAAAAGAAAAAGGAGAAATTAAGGAGGGGACATGAGGACGATGAGGGGCATCAGGATGAAAGAAAGAATCAGATACAATTAAGAGTCAGTTTGGACCATTTGTCAGATCTAATATCGCAATCTCTCCTCTCCTAGCCTCCAATCCCATCTACCGCTCTCTCTCCATCTCCCTTTTCATTTTGCTCTCCCCTTCATCCAGATCTCTTTGATATTTCTAATGCTCACCATTGACAGTCAATTTGCTGCGGGAGATTACTTTCCCGTTCTCGTCTCGGATGGTGTAGTTTCCCTGGTCTGCCTGGGTCACCCTCTCTGCCACCCAGACCCTCCCATCTGACCCTAGCCTCCCCCGGCCCGCCTCGCTGGTCTCAGGGTCCGTCCGGTTCCACAGTAATACCGGCTGGGAGTCAGGGGGGGAGCCCCGGGGAGAGAACTCCAGCAGGGAGCCATATTTAGGGATGTTGTGCTGAAAGGTTTCCCCATAGCCCCGTCTGAAGGTTTTTATACATTCTGAGAAAGGGTGAAAGAAAGAGAAATAGAGAGACATTATCTTGAGAGTTATACAACGTTTCAAAGTTTATACAATCTATTTCAACAGACACAATGAATCATTATACAATATCATAGAGAAAGAGAGAGACAGAATAGAGAGCAAGAAATAGAGCGAGAATAGATAGAAAGAAATGGAGAGAGGTATTCCCTGTGGCTGAGTTGTACCTGAGACAGTGAGGCGAACTGTCTCGTAGGTGAATCCAGAGGACAGTTTGATAGAGTAAAGCCCTTGGTCACGGTGTGTGACGTCCTTCAGCAGCAACGTCCTATCTTTCGTCCACTCAAACCGTGGGTCCTTCAACTACAAAACACACAATAGTGCTTAGCACACACACACACGTTACGTTCTTCTATCCTCGTGGGGACCTAAAATGAATTTCCATTCAAAATCCTATTTTCCCTAAATCTAACCCTTACCACTAACCCCTTACCCTAATTCTAACCATAACCCTAAATCTAACGCCTAAGCTTAAAACAGCCTTTTTCCTCATGGGGACATGGGAAATGTCCCCACTAGGGAGGATTTTCCTTGTTTTACTATCCTTGTAGGGACATTTGTGGATTTTAGGTCCCGCAAGGATAGAAGAACCAACCCACACACAACCTACATTGTTGTTCTCCAGAAGCACTCTTCTTGGTCCTGGAGGGTAGTTGGGGGTAAAGGTCACAATTCTTGACCCTGAGTAGACCGGCAGACGGAACTCTCGACCAGAACACACTATCTGTAAGTCTTCATTCCAGCCTGAAAAAGAGAGGGACAAATAGAGTGAGACAACAGGAAATGTAAAACATTGATGGGAGGAGGAAAAAAGGTAATGGCCAGACATTATCAAAAGTAAATACAGCATTTTTTAAATCCATGTGTGACTTTTTGTGAGACAACAACGACAACACTGGACCCACCCAAAGAGAAAGCTAGACGGGAGAGAGAGAGAGATTGGAGTCAAATCAAATTCTTCCAACATATTACTACTGTAAAGTAATCATAGGTTGAACAACAATCTACAACTGGATGCAAATGCTATAATATTAAAACGGCAAAAAGTCCAACTCACCCAAAGACACAGGGATGCTGAGAAGGGCACTCACTAGGATACAGAGGTGCATGTTCTGAGGACAGACACAAGACAGCTGTAGAGAGACACCCACTGGGTCAGGGGGGGGTTGGCGGTAGGCTATAGATAGTTCTAATTAAATCTCACTTGTATCCTTCAAAATAAAGCCAGCTTTATTATCAATAGATGATTTGTTAGACATATTTTAATGTGTTAGATACCATAAATGTTACTAAAGTGGACAGGCAACATTCGTTTAAATACAATACACCAGGGTTTCCCAAACTCGGTCCTGTGGCCTCCTCTGGGTGCACGTTTAGTTTTTCTGCCCTAGCACTACTCGACTGATTCAAATAACCAACTCACCATCAAATTTAGATTATTTAAATAATCTGTGTAGGGCAAAACACAAAACGTGCACCATGGCGGCGGGGAGTCTGGGAAACCCTGCAATACACCATAGGCTAGCTAATACAGTATTAGAAAGAAATGTATCTAGTGAATGATGACCATTGCATAATTTACAACTAGGCTACAAAAAACAAGAATAGGATTGCCGCTGATTCATGGTCCATGAGTTTCACCGAACAACAATAAGCCGCTTCCCGTTTCGACTGTGAAAGATTAGTGAAAAACACCACTACACGACCAGAACTGGTAGCCTAGCCTACAGTTAGTTAAAAACACCACTGTACATAATTGTCATTCAGCCCGACTCCCCACTATTACCGCGCCAGCAAACACTGTTCACCATCAATCAACTACACAAGGGGGTGCTAATAGTCTAGTTTTAGAACGTTGCACTGCTCCTAATTCCACACGACCTGTGATGCTGAAATAGTTAAATTAATATTGTATAAGCTATTATCGACAGCATTCATCTACAGCACACGACAACAACCTATTTTACAGTTAGCTATTTAGTTAATCAATTTATTGGAATTAACATGGAATAAAATGAAGATGTATTATATGCCTACATTTGCACTCACCTATGCACGACAGCAAAACACAATAGCCTACTATTATTTTATATTCTTAAATGTATTACGAGCCCATATAGTGGATGACCATTGCAAGCGTTAAGATCATTAACTGCCTCTTCTTTGCCTGCTATGCGCATGAGCGAAGTTGCGTCCTCTGCTACTTGTTGTAAGGGAAGCGTTCCAGGTCATCTTTAACAACGCCTGGAGTGTTGCAAATCGCAATCTTCTAAAATGCGCAGCGCAGCTATACAAATACGACCTGAAACGCTACCAAGGTGATGGGCATATTATTTGATATATAAATCACCCCACTTGCAGATATTGGGTTTATGATATTATATACAGCGCAGGCAGGATTGGACCCAACCGGATGTCTCTTCTAGTCTACAGTCTACGGCAGTTTCAAGGCTCTGACTTTCTGAGCTTTGTAAGTTATCTCAAACAGGGCCAACTGTGTAGTTCCCGCACACCTCACGAATTGGGACACTGATAAGGAAGCCCATTGCTTGGCTGTGCTTGTCAATCATCCAACATCTATGGGGGTGTTTATTATGGCCAAATAGAGCAACGGTAAAATTATTGTGGAGGTTGGTTGTTTTTTAAGGCACTCGCGTGGGGTGTGTTTAAAAAAAAAAGGTCGAATGGAGTAATGCTGTGTTGTTTGAACGTTTTGACAATTAAAATAATAACCTTAAATAGAGTTGTCTCAAGAAGATCATGTTTCTCCTGGTATTGCTGAGTGCATCATTTATCTGTATGGGTGAGTATAGTGGCATCTGTAGGCCTACTTTGTACCCCTCTCTCTCTCTCTCTCTCTCTCTCTCTCTCTCTCTCTCTCTCTCTCACACACACACACACACACACACACACACACACACTCACACACACTCACACACACAAACACACAGACGCCTATCTCTGCTTGCCTCTTATTATAATTGTTTCATTGTATTCACAGGAATATCCCTGTATTGATGTGTACTATTGTTATTATTGTTGCAATAAAAATTATGTCTTTGAAACCCTCAAGTTATTATTCTACTACTTGTATGAGTTGGTAAACAAACTGAAAGGGTGCATACTGCCACCTGCAGTTATGGAATGTTTGCTCACGAGTATAATTAATTGGCTGATCCCTCCTGATGACCTGGAATTATGTGATCCTTCCTTAACCCATAGGAAGTCCCATCTAGTTGACTACTTCAAAATAGTGAAACTCCTCAATGGCGCTGCCCATGTTAAAACAGGCTTTTTGGTACTATCTATCATTCGTTCTCAATGACTGGTAACTAACCTCCTCCTTCTTCTATCTGTGATTTTATATTGAACAAAAATATAAAATGTAACATGTAAAGTGTTGGTCCTATTTTTCATGAGCCCCCTCCAATGTCGTTTTAGAGAATTTGGCTGTACATCCAACCGGCCTCACAACCGCAGACCACGTGTAACCACACCAGCCCAGGACCTCCACATCCGGACCTCCACATATTTGTAGGGAGTGACATACCAGGAAGGGCTCCCTGGACGTTTTTCACTTTAAAAAAGGGCTGCCCCCACACGAAAGGCCATTCTACACAACTCTTTATTAATTGTGAGTAAAGGGTAAACTGACTTTGGAAGATTACTTGTGTGACTTAACTAATCATGCTCACGAAGACTAGTGCCGCCCTCGCGCGACCTGAGCCTAGGGCAGTGGTTCCCAACCTTTTTCGGTTATTGTACCACCAACTGAATTTTGCTCTGCCTGGAGTACCCCTGAAGTACCCCCTCATTTTCATTTTACCAGTAGGCCTATGGTCTCATGAGTCTTCTCAAGTACCTCCTGTGGATAGGGCAAGTACCCCCGGGGGTCCTAGTACCCCTGGTTGGGAGCCACTGGCCTAGGGGGTCAACCATTGGGGTCTACAGACTTTACGCAAACTATGCAAACGCAACGTCATTTTACGTCACAAAATGGGCAGCTCCTTTCAGTACGCAGTACAGTAAATTTCCTTCTGTAGGAAGGCGGGGGGCAATTGTATGAATATTCATTAGTCTCAACATAGAACCCGTCGGGTGATTGGTTGAGCCTTCTTGAGTGCGTAAAGTTACAAAGATGCTCTACAGAGCCATCTGTTTAGCTAGCTCATTCCCCTGGCATGAGCAGTTAGCACCGACTGAACGATTTGGGAAACCCAGCTTCAGCTTGATCACCAAATTAATTGGGAAATAAATGAAAGCCTCACCAGATAGCTACCAGTTTATTTTAGTTTCACTGTCCAGTCATTCTGCGTCCTCAACAGAAATGCTATCATGGGTACTTGGAGGCTGTATCACAGTCATTTGACCAAATGAGTCCGATTGGGGAATGCAGGCAGAACCAGGGTTGTGGGTTCGATTCCCACTGGGGACCAGTATGAAAAAGTACGCACTCACTACTGTAAGTCGTTCTGGATAAGAGCGTCTGCTAAATGACTAAAACACAAAGATATGGGTGTCTCCCGAGTGGCGTAGTGGTCTAAGGCACTGCATCGCAGTGCTAGCTGTGCCACTAGAAATCCTGGTTCAAATCCAGGCTCTGTCGTAGACGGCCGCGACCGGGAGACCCATGGGGTGGCGCACAATTGGCGTAGGGGAGGGAATGGCCGGCAGGGATGTAGCTCAGTTGGTAGAGCATGGGTTGTGGGTTCGATTCCCACAGGGGGCCAGTATAAAAAATATATAATGTATGCACTAACTGTAAGTCGCTCTGGATAAGAGCGTCTGCTAAATGACTAAAATGTATATGAGAAATATAGTTGTGAAAATTCAAATTAATACATTTGTCCAGGATAATAGGTAATGAGCACCAAATTACTTTTTCAAGATATGTTGAAGCTTCAAATGATTTATAATTTCTTTGCAAATTATCAAATGACGACAAAACATTAACAGGTCTTTCAGATTTTTATATTGATAAAGTAAGACAGTTCAAAGATATGTAAGGTATTTATCATATTCTTCAAAATCAAGGGAAATATGGCAAAAATACAGGCAATGACTGCTAATGTTAGCAGTAGCAAAACTTCAGCCCAGGGTTCAATGCAAGCCACCAGTCATCCATTATGCTAATGTTCTGACCAGTCTCTGAACGTCTGACATTTACAGTGCATTCGGAAAGTATTCAGACCCCTTGACTTTTTCCACATTTTGTTACGTTACAGCTTTATTCTAAAATTGATTAAATTGTTTTTCCCCCCCCCCCCCTCATCAATCTACACACAATACCCCATAATGACAAAGCGAAAACTGGTTTTTAGAAATTTTAGCAAATTTATTACAAATAAAAACCAGAAATATCACATTTACATAAGTATTCAGACCCTTTACTCAGTACTTTGTTGAAGCACCTTCGGCAGCGATTACAGCCTCCAGTCTTCTTGGGTATGACGCTACAAGCTTGGCACACCTATTTGGGGAATTTCTCCAATTCTTCTCTGCAGATCCTCCCAAGCTCTGTCAGGTTGGATGGGGAGCGTTGCTGCACAGCTATTTTCAGGTCTCTCCAGAGATGTTCGATCGGGTTCAAGTACGGGCTCTGGCTGGGCCACTCAAGGACATTCAGAGACTTGTCCCAAAGCCACTCCTGCGTTGTCTTGGCTGTGTGCTTAGGGTCGTTGTCCTGTTGGAAGGTGAACCTTCGCCCTAGTCTGAGGTCCTGAACGCTCTGGAGCAGATTTTCATCAAGGATCTCTCTGTACTTTGCTCCGTTCATCTTTCCCCTCGATCCTGACTAGTCTCCCAGTCCATGCTGCTGAAAAACATCCCCACAACATGATGCTGCCACCACCATGCTTCACCGTAGGGATGGTGCCAGGTTTCCTCCAGACGTGACACTTGGCATTCAGGCCAAAGAGTTCAATCTTGGTTTCATCAGACCAGATAATCTTGTATCTCATGGTCTGAGAGTCCTTTAGGTACCTTTTGGCAAACTCCAAGCGGGCTGTCATGTGCGTTTTACTGAGGAGTGGCTTCCGTCTGGCCACTCTACCATAAAGCCCTGATTGGTGGAGTGCTGCAGAGATGGTTGTCTTTCTGGAAGGTTCTCCCATGTCCACAGAGGAACTCTGGAGCTCTGTCAGAGTGA